GGGGGCCATCCTCACCCCCGGGATGGTCCATCCCCAGTGACAGGAGATGACTTTGGTCACTGACCCCACTCAAATGCAGGCAGTTCTTTCCACTTGAAAAAAAAAGGAAATAAAAGCCAAATGGCCCAAAGAAGGTGGAGGTGACAGCTGGTCCCGGGCCCGGCTGCAGAGGGGTCAGCACAGGGAAAAGCAAACAGCTTTGCCAACGACAGCTTTGGAGCTGCCCAGGCAGGGCAGGAGCACCAGGCCTTGGCCAGGCAGAGCAGCCCAGCTCCTCTGGCACTCTTCCTTCAGGACCCAGGGTGGATTCAGGGAGATGAGGTGAACCCCTGCCCACACCTGCAGCAGCCACGTGCTCCTGCCTCTGCTCCTGCTCCTGAACCAACTGTACTGGGGGCAAAGCACCATCTCTCCCTCAGGGGCTGAGGGGACCTCTGGCTCCCCAGCCCGGGCTCCTGCTCCCCAGCTGGAATGTTAAAAACCTGCTGGGTAAAGGGGAGGGGGAAGCAGCTCCCGGGGCACCAGGGAACGATCCTGCCAAGCGAGCACCAGGCTCCCTCACCCCGTGAGCCAGGCAGACGTTCCACATCCAACACACGCTCCAGTCGGCACCTTTGATCCAAAGCACCTGCCAACTGCTCCCGAGTGCCAGCACGGCTGCAACGGCAAACTGGGCAGGGAAGGGGGGGAAGGTCTGGCAGTGATACAGGCAGTGGGATCACTGCACACACAGCAAGGAGCTGGTGACACAGAGCTGTGTGGTGTTGCTGTGCCACAGGGAAGGGTTTGCATCCACAGGGACCCAGACGGGCTGGAGAGCTGGGATTGTGAGACCCTCAGGAAGTTCAACGAGGCCAAGTGTAAGATCCTGAACGTGGGTCAGGGCAATCCCAATCACAGCACAGGCTGGATAGAGAATGGGTGGAGAGCAGCTCTGGGAAGAAGGACTTGAAAGTGTTGGTGGATGAAAACCTGAACACGGACATGCCCTGGCTGTGTGCCCTGGGCTGGTCCCACAGAGGGGCACCAGGGGAGGGGGGGATTCTGATCCTCTGCCCCCTCAGGTGAGACCCCCCTGCAGAGCTGCCTCCAGCCCTGGGGAACAACAGCACAGGGACGTGGAGCTGCTGGAGAG